TCATCCCCCTTACAGCATTCTGCAAATGCCCAATAGACAATTCAGCTGCTTCAGGCTTTTGTTTGGGTAATCAACGTCCAAAAATCTGCTCTCCAGCCTTCTCTTTGCCTGGAATTCTTGGGTCTAATTCTGGACACAGCCCAAGGAAGTGTTCCTTCAAAACAATATTTTTTTTTTTTTTTCTTTTGAGCCCATGCTTGAGATTTGAGATCAAAAAGACATCCCACAAGGTAATTCTTCATGCTAGGCCTCATGGTAGCTTCCTTCAAGGCTGTAGAATTTGCCCAATTTCAATCAAGACTTCTCCAACACATCTTGTTGACCTAGAACAAACATGCTTTTTCTCTCAATCTATCCTTGCTCCTTTCCAGCCAAGCCTTGGGGAATCTTTAGCCCAGCCTTCATGGTAGGTAAGGCTTTCCTTCCCTATCACTGGAAAATAAGTTAGTCTTTCCAGCTGGGTCTAGGAAACAGTTGCCCATGAAAGCCAAGCTCTCCATTTATATTCTGCAGCTTACCCCAATAAGAATGGCTCTGTAACACTGGACCTCAACTTCTGCCACTCAATCAGGGTGCAGGCAGACAATGCCACAGCTGTGGCCTATATCAGCCATCAAGTGTCAGCACGAGTCACGCAACCTTGAAGGAAGCAAGTCAGTTAACCTGACAGAAACTCACTATCGGAGCAATTTCTGTAGTCCACATCTCAGGAGTGGACACCTGAAAGTGAACTACTACCTCAGCTGCCACTGCCTGGTTCAAGGGGAATGGGCCCTTCATCCAGACATCTTAAATTTCATATGTAAGAAATGGGGGGCCCTAGATGTAGACATTCTAGCCCCTCAGATTCAACAACAAACCACCTCTATTTGCAGCCAGGACCTAGCTTCAGGTGTCCTGATAATTCCCTTATCTCAGTTCAGGCTAGTCTATGCTGTGAATTCTGTCTGCTCAAAAAGAGAGCAAGAGAGGAAAACTGTGATTCTCATTGCACCAGGCTGGTTCTGAAGAACCTGGTACACAGATATACTCGGACCTCAAGCAGATGACCCATGGCCTCTCCCTTACAGGCCAGATCTACTGTCTAAGGGGTCTCTGTACTGTACTCCAAGATAAGGAACTTGCGTCCAAAATTATTTTGTTAATTTTAGTGCTGAAACTTAACATAATTGATAATAAAAATTGTTGACAACTATTTATATGAGCAATTAGTTGGTCAGGTAATTAGTTGGCCCACATACCAATGCATTATTTATTTGTAGCACTGCACTTTTCTCATAACATTATGTATCACAAATTTCAGTGCTGGCGGCTTATAGGTGTTTTTTTTGCTCAAGTGCAGTGATTTCCTTTCCCATTCACACTGCATTTAGCAGAAAACACATGTTTTTTTTGTGCGTAACACATAGAGCTGGCCATTTACTTGAATGGGCTGGCCTTTTTACAACAAATGCAGCAAAGAAACTCCAGAAACGTTTCAGGTGTGGAGTGTTTTTGCCTTATGTCTTCTAACCATGCTTGGGGCAGCGCCAGAGTGAGGTACGTTTTCAGAGTGTTTCCAGAACGCGTGTTTTCTGTGCACTTTGTCATTTGTTCTAAAATTGCCAAGTGGTGAATGTTGCCTTATTTGGGCTCCCTCACAGGCACTCAACATGTGGTGTGTTGGCTAAAGCAGAATTTTCTGCCACTTTATCCACTCCAGAGGCTATTTCCACTTCTGTATTTGCTGGTTACTGACACCCATAATCCTGCCTCTACCCCCTGATTATCTTTAGTCACTGCAACCTGAACTACCTAATACACTTCCATTTGCAGAAGGTAAGGGGGATGCTGACTTTAGCAGAAGGAGCAGATGATTTTTCACTGCCGGAATTTCATGAAGCTAGGGTTTATATATACTGTACACTCTGAAGAGTAATCCAAAGTGGATCGCTTTGCAAAGGGCATTTGATAGGCAGTGAGGAGGCATATTGCTCCTCCTCACCACCTGTTTTTAACCTCTGAAAACTTGTACCACCGCAATGGATGCTTTTGTCATGGCCTTTTTCATTTAAAAGGGTCGTGTTTGACTGATAGTGCTGAATGTGATGGGGGAATTTAATGCACAAAAACACAATATATTGCCCAATTGTTTGATAGAATATAAAAGATGATCTTACGCCAAGTAAATAGATACCAAACATTGACATACTTTAAAATTGCGCATATTGCCCAGCACGTGTACCATGTGATAGCTGTAGGCCAATCATAACCTCATTAGAGTAAGCACAGCTATTATAAATGTAATCCATTCATGCTATTACAGTGTTCATAGTGTGTAAAAAGAACATATTGCCCCAGAGTAGTACAGTGTCACTATGGTGTCACTGAACTATTGCGATGATGGTATGTTAAAACAAAATGCTCTTTGTGTGAACAAAGTGATATAATTTAATTTAGGTTCAGTGTTGCATGACCAAGAAATTGCCAGTTAAAGTAACACAATTCTGAATAGCAAAAAATGCCTGTGGTCATGAAGGGGGGTAAAAACTTTCCAGAGGACAAGTGAAACTGTAATCCTAATACAAGGCCCACTTTGGATGCAGCTATGCTAGACCTTCCTGCTCATTTTCTTGATAGTCTTTTGAACTTCCTTAATTTGTTTACACTTTTGCAGATTTGAAGCAATGTATTTTTTCCCACTTTGGAAAACTTTTTGGAAAAAACTGTAAACTTACTGTGTATGCTGGTCCTGGCCTGAGCAGCAAGAGCATGTCAATGCTGTAGAAATTGGTGAGATGCCAATTGATGATATCCGGAAGTAGAGCAGACAGTTTTTTTATTATTGTTTTCATCTAAATCTGATCTCAGACAGGGTGATTAAAATGACCTGCTCTTTGTAGCTTAGGAAGATGTCCTGACCTAATAAATACTTTTCTTCCTCTGAGGCATAAATTATCGTAAATAGGTTGTGTCCTCGAAACTGTGCTAAAGTCTGTTAGCCAGTTGGTCATCCAGGTGTTCCATCGTATGGACTCAGATGTTGTTTGGATCATACGTCTTGTTGGTTTGACATGCCTGTGTTATTATGTCCATTGTATGATACCTATTTTTGTTTCTTTAATAAATTATTTTAAACGATAATGCACTAGGTCGGTGCGCCCTTTTTGCGTTTCTCCATTTGTATCCAGTGTATTCGGACCACCCCGGTCTGTTGAGGGCAGCAAGCAGTGCATATTCCAGAACATTCCTATTGGGTCTACTGAGTCCTTTCCTAGCGCAGGAGTAAAGTGTTTGTTGTGTTGGATATATTTTTCATCCTGTATTATACACAATGATTGCTCTGGGGGTTTGTATAGATATTTAGCTGCAGCAGGTAGAGAGGACTACATTTTGATTGCTGGAGTGCGGTGAGAACCACATGCATCAGATTTAAAGCTGCATTATTGTGGGTGCCTAGATTTTGTTGATGTTTGCTTCAGCATAAACATGTATAAGAAAGTGGGAATGGTGTAGAGCATCATAGCAAGATATCTGTTACAGTAAAATAGTCTAGTTTTGCTATTGGCTATTCCTTTCCCTATTTAAAAAAAAAAAAAAAGTAAACCTTTTTATTTATTTTTCATTAAAGAATATGTCCACATTTATACGAACAAGAAGGAAGCACTTCAGGTTGTGAAAATGCTGAAGGGGTCACGTTTTAAGGCCTTCCATTCCAGAGATGATGCTGAAAAAATTTGCTAGAGGAATATGTGATTACTATTCTTCTCCCAGCAAATCTTCACTGAGTGTGTCCCCTGTAAAGATTTCTTCTCCTCTCCTTAGAGGTAAGTGTTTGCCTGTATGGCTGATGTCACTGAACTAGACTAATGAAATTGTTTTTGCTTTCATTTTCTGACTTGATAATTAGCTACTTCTTTTAGGTATATGTATGTATGTGAAAAAAAAATTATAGAATATAATTTATTTCTTTATTTTACACACAACAGAAGAATGTCCCCCTGCTCCTCTATCATTCTTTGTTACCTTTTCAGAGGAATGTATTGCTCAACCTGGGGCAACTGTGCTATTCTATCATTTAGACGAGAATGGCATTATCTTTGGCAAGTTCCTTATACAGTCAATCTGGGATCAAACTTTACTATCTGGATTCAATTACTATATTTGAATCCTCTTGCAGAAATAAGAGTAAACTCCTTATCTGAGCCCTTGCAACTAAAGAGGCACCAGGCAGGGTTGCTCTTTATCCCTCTTGGCTTGCCCCTGCTCTTGAACACTTGGCCTCTATCATCTGTACCAACTGAATCTATTGAGGAGTTTGGGAGAGGTAAAAAATGCGAGAAAAAAAAATAGCTGTGTATATGCACAAACATGTTCCTATTTCTACGAAAATGCCCTCTCTAGAGGCCTTTAATGTCCTTAATAGTAAAATATGGTAATTAAGAAAAAAATCAGTCCTTTTTGGACTAGACCCTTTGATTTATCCCCCACCCAGCTGTGCTGCCCAGAATAAACTAGTGGATTAGTTCACATACCTCTTGGTTAGAATTCCTAAATCTATTTCTAATTACCTAGGCTAAAAGTTGTTCGAAAGGTAAAACTTTTTTTTTTTTTTTTTTTTAACTTTATTCCATTCACTTCATTAGGGTAAAAAATGTTTTGCCATTTGCCTGAGTCCTGTATTGATCCAGCACTGTGCCCACCTTCTGTCCCCTCTTCCCACTCATAAGCCATTGGCTCCGGCTCCTGTCAGTTAAATCATATGAGCAGAGAGTAGACCCGAGTAGCACTGTGTTTGTCAATAGACACACAGAACTCTGCTCGGGAGCAAGCCTGCGTGTCTGCCAATAGCAAGCTCTTCCTATGGGGGAGAACCCGGAAGAGGAGGAGCCAAGGTTGCCTTTAGGGGACCCCTGAAGAAGGAGGTTTGGGGCTTTTCTGTGCAATACCATTGCACAGAGCTGACGAGTATAACATGTTTTTATACTGTATAGCAGTATGTAAAAAAAAAAATTGCCTTTTCAAACGCTTTAAGCGTGGTGGCTAAATTAAAACAGAAGTAATAGCTGATGGAAGCTACCATTCACTATAGGTGGCAGAACTAATTTAATAATTATTTGGGCTACACAGTTGCTTTAAATATTATATAAACTGACAGATATTGCTCTGAACACAATCCACTTGCGTGGTATGTTTTCTTATGGTTTTTTTGTCAAATGCTGTACAAAGTGTTTTCTATTTGAAATCTAATAAAAAATGTGTTACATAATGGCCCTGTTTGGATCCCCCCAAATTTTAAGTACATAGTTACATATTTAGAGACCTCATATGGAAAAAGCATAGTACTAAAATAAAACCTGAGACCTTTCAATATCAGGACTCTGGAGGGTTAAATTTCTAATGTTAGCTTGTACTACCTACCTGACAACTCCGGGATGTGGACAGGTCTTGGAATTTGATGACTGTACAAAAACTACTTGCCCCCTCAATCTCAAATAGGAAGTGGAACAATTGGGTTGGGTAACTGACACACCCGACCCTCCATATGCCAGATACCATTTGGTCGAAAATGAGAACAAACATGCATTATGAAGGTTATTCAGAATTTTTCCCTATCTGGAATAGCTATAAATTACCAGAGCTTCAAAAATTGGAAGAATTTGAATTGTGGATTAGGCAGGGTGCCACAAACCTCTATCAAATCTATCATGCACATGCAATCAAATCATTCTTACAATTACATGAAGAGTTTGATCTTTCAAAGCAATGTTTCTTGTGTTTCAATATTCACAACTACGTCCCTGGAGTTAGAAACCCTGCTAGTAGTTGTATATAGCTGCTGCGGAGACCAAATGCGACCTAGTCTCTACAACTTATAAAACTTTTTATAGCAACAAAGCATACAGAGCTTAAAATTACCATGTAGAAAAGGCTCGTGAGGTACATGTGGGGCCCCTGCCTGATAAGGAATGGTCTGAGAAGATACTCGTTATGCCTAATTCGTCTATATCCGCTATATAAAAACACTCAACTCTTCATACACCACAGATCATACCCTCAAAAACTGGACACTTTCTAAGATTAGAGTTAGGACCACTCTTTAACAGCTTCCCAACCGCCCAATAGCAGAACTACTGCGACCGGGCTGTCCAAGATCATGTATATGGGGATCTTGGGGATGTAGACACCCCACTACGTGCAAGGTATGAAACTCACATGCGTACATTAAAACATAAGCTGTGGAGATGGCCTCAAGCTTTTCAGATACTAGAAAAGGTATCATTTCACACTAACATGGACTTTGGACCCAAAAATGTGTGCTGGGCCTCTTTTAACCACTTGTCTAATAGGCACTTTCACCCCCCTTCCTGCCTAGCCAATTTTCAGCTTTCAGCGCTGTCGCACCTTGAATGACAATTGTGCAGTCATGCAACACTGTACTCATATGAAATTTTTATTTTTTTTTTTGAGACAGATAGAGCTTTCTTTTGGTGGTATTTAATCACCACTGGGTTTTTTTTTTTAATTTTTTGCTAAACAAACCAAAAACAACTGAAAATTTGGGGGGAAAAAGTTTTTTTTCTTAGTTTTTGTTATAAAATTTTGTAGATGAGTAATTTTTCCTATTCACTGATGTGCACTGATGGGTGGCACTGGTAGGTGGCACTGATGGGCATTGACAGGCATCACTGATGGGCACTGAAAGGCAGTACTCATATAGGGCACTGATAGGCAGCACTGATGGGCACTGATAGGTGGCACTATGTGGCATTGATGGGCACTGATAGGTGGCACTGATGGGGCTACACTGATCATCAGGGTACTGATAATCAGTGACGGGAGCTGACTGGAGAGATTTGTATTGTTTACATACAGACCTCTCCCTGTCAGTGCACGCCCTCTACCCGGAAAATACAAAATCACATATACTGTATATACATGATCTTGGACAGCCCGATCGCAGTAGTTCTGCTATAGGGCGGTCGGGAACCTGTTAACCAGTGGTCCTAACTCTAATCTTCAAGAGTCTCCATGCTGGAACATATAAAGCAATGGAGAAATTAAGGGCAGATATGCCTAGAGTTAGCCTATTACTCCTTAAAGGTGCAGGGGCACTCCGGAAAGCCAGCAAAGTGTAATGGCAGCTGAAGCCATTCATTGTGTCCCATGCTAATTCCAGCGAGCTAAGCAAATGGCAAGCACCTCAATTTCTAACTAGCTTTTAAAGTGAGGCACACATTGGAAGTGCTTTGCACAAACAAATAAAACATTTCCCAGCACATTTAACAGCTAGACTAATAGGAAAATATTTTTAAATTGCCCTGTTAGGCCTGCATCATGGATGTACCCTGTATTAAATATTTATTCATAAGACAAAGATTTTATTTACATGGTAAAAATAAATAAATGTACAGCATTGAGACTTGACTTAATAAAATCCACTTCACCCTAAACAGAAAGTTCTAGCATGCATGTGGCTGATGCTTTGATTAAAGTGTTGGAATGTGGCACTGTTATCTAGAAAGCTTCTTCTCTGCATGGACAATGTCTTTTCTGTCCTCCTGGATACTATTATCAAGGAAGCTACTAGTGGCAAGAGCAACTCCCTCAGGCAAAGAAGCCTAGGGCACTTACTGGGAAGGGTTATCCCTCACTGGAGAAGTCATTTTCGTTACATTACTCCCACAAGCTCAAAGTCCAAATCCTCCAAGCTTGCCCTCGTGCAGGGTCTGGGACTCAGTCTGACAAACCTTCTTCGGCGTGAAGGTGTGCCTCCACTTTCTGCAGTGGAGGAATGTCTTAGTCTTTTCGGGCGTTTAGACAGCTTGTATCTTGTATCTGGTTTTTCTCAAAGAGAGATCTGGATACATGGGGAACAGATTGTATTCAGCTGACTGGGGGGGTAGTATATCGGAAATGTACATTTTTTTTGGAGATGGTTCCCGTGCGCAGATGAGATATATTTTATAGTTTGTTTGTTTTTTCTCACCTCCAACCTTACTTTGTCAGTGTACAGATTAACAGATTCCCATGAAAATATCTTGGGGCTTCTGAGTTAAAGTGGCGTTCCAGTGAAAATACAAAAATGTCAGTAGCTACAAAAACTGTAGCTGCTCAGTTTTAAAAAAATGGACACTTGCCTGTCCCTCGATCCCGCAGCCTGTTTCACCAGCCGCCTTGTGTTCCTGGCGCCGGCATCTTCAGTGTGGGCACCCACCTGTGACCGCTTGTGGCTTCACTGCTCATGTGCGAGTAGCACTGTGCTTTGTGACTGATCCTGTAGTCTTCTGGGACCTGTCACGTGTCCCAGAAGACATGGGGGGGAATGGGACAACTTCCGCTTCCAGTTGCCAGGTGATCGCAGCAGAAGTGGGAGCCAGTGCCTGCTTCCCAAAGGTACCAATCATTAATGGGGAGCAGGGGGACCAGTCCTTAAAGCGGAGCTTCCCCTTTTGGGTGGAGCTCTGCTTTAAGGTGTCATTCCTCCAGTTTTTGTGGCATTAAAGTTTTTTAGGATTTTTACTTAACTTTCCAAACTCAAGTGGGCACCAACCCCATCTTGGCTCTGAATGTCTGTCGTTATTTGAGCTCAGAAATTTCACATGGAATCCCACCAGGTCTATCATCACCTCTCTTCACTTCTGTGGACATCAAGAATGCCAACCTGCATGTCTCCATATTTCCTAAATACCAGCTCTTTCTACACTTTGCTGTAGGTAACCTGCTATTTCAGTTCGTGGCCCTGACCGTTAAAGAGTACATACCTGAAGTTGAGTTTAGGGTCACTTTAACCCTTAGGGCTCATGTACACAGGGCGTTTGAAAAATTCTTCTGACCGCTGGAAACTGTTTGCTAGAAAACTTAGGTTAAAAATGTCAGTGTAGCTGCGTTTACCTACCACCTTTATGCACGTTTGCATTTTAGAAGCGTTTTTAAAAGATAACCGTAGGAGACCCTCCCAAATGCCCAAAATGCACTGAAAAATCGTAAATTCACTAAAAAAGGCAACTAAAATACCGCATGAGTTATTTTACCAAGTCATGCGGTATTTTAGTAGTGAAAAGCATGCATTGATGTTTCATCGGTCAGCGGGATTCCCCACTGACAGCTGCGTGTAAAAGAAAAAATTGCCGGCAATTAAAAAATGATAAAAAAAAAAAAACTGTGTGGGGTCCCCCCCTCCATCCATACCAAGCCCTTCGGGTCTGGTATGGATTTTGAGGGGAAGCCCCACGCCAAAATGTAAAAAAATGGTGTGGGGATCCCCCCTCAAAATCCATGCCAAACCCTTATCCGAGCATGCAGCCTGGCAGGTCAGGAAAGAGGGAGGGAAGAGTGAGCGCCCCACTCCTGAACCATACAAGGCCACATGCCCTCAACATGGGTGGGTGGGGGGGGGGGTTGCTTTAGGGTAGGTTGAGCTCTCCATGTTGATGGAGTCAAGGACCTCTTCCCCACAACCCTCGGCTGTGGTTGTGGGGGGCTTATCGGAATCTGGAAGCCTCCTTTAGCAAGGGGGCCCCCAGATCCTGGCCCCCCTCATGTGAATGAGTATGGGGTACATGGTACCGCTACCCATTTACAAAAAAAAAAACTGTAGTGTGAAAAGACCGGAGACATTCTTTAACAAGTCATTTATAAAAGAAGGAAAATAAAAGCATGTCCCCTGAAGTAGATCCAATGTCAATCATGATGCCCGCCGCCACCCGAAAAAAGAAGAAAAAAAAGTCTCTGCTCCCGATACTGGCTCCTGGCCATCTGCCTCTCTGCTGGCTTGACAGTTCTTGAATATGTAAGGGCTTGGTATGGATGGGAGGGGGGACCCCACGCCGTTTCTTTTTTAATTGCCGGCAATTCTTTTTTACATTCAGCTGTCAATGGGAACCCAGCTGACAGCTGAAACATTACTTGATAAAATAACTCATGCGGTATTTTAGTAGCCTTTTTTAATGGAGTCTTATGTTTTTTTTTAAAAAAATGCTGTGCGGCAGCCTACCGCATACTCTGATGCGGTAAGATACCGCTTAGTGAATTGTGCCCTGGATATGGACCAGCCAAAAAACGCCTCTATACGCAAACCGCATAAATGCGTTTACACGCGTTTACAAGCATTTGGCATTTGAAACGCCAGTAAACTTTACTCCTGAATGCGATTTTTTTTTTTTTTTTTTTTTTTTGTGCTTTCATGAAAATGCCTGTAAACTTAGCTTTCTGTAAACTACTGTAAACGACTGTGTACATGGACACATAGGAAAACATAAAGGAGAGTTCAGGGGCTGCTGAAAAAACCGCTGAACTGCTCCTAAACTTTCGTTTAGCAGCTGCAGTGTACATGGGCCCTTACACACAATAGTTGTGTGTTTTAACACACACTGATCAGAATTGCTACAGCAGATGCCATGAACTTGTAAAATGTTACTAAACCCATGACCCTGCATTCACTATATCTGGTCTTCCACTGACACAGAACTTGGAAATATAATTATTTGAGTAAATACCGTATTTTTCGCTCCATAAAATGCACCTGACCATAAGACACACCTAGATTTCAGAGGAGGAAAACAAGAAAAAAAAAATTCTGAACCAATGGACTGCAGACATAGTAGTACAGGAGATGACCAGAGACTGTGGACATAGTACAGGAGATGACCAGAGACTGGTACCTGCTCCCACTTCCATGAACTGGCCTCAGTGGAAATTGGTCTGAAGAAGACCAAATCTAATAAGGAAAATGTCTTGTTAATGTCGGAGGAGAATGGGCAGACTGGTTCGAGATGATGAAAGAGAAAATTCTCTGAGAAATGTTTCATTTGACGTCCACTTAGAACCAGAAAGCTCCTTCTCGACTCTCGTTTGACTATAGGCTGTGCAGGAAGCGGATTAAAAAAAAAAAAGACACTTTGTCTGTCGAGGGATCCAGCGCTGTCCTCACCTAGGCTGGTTCTTTACTGGTCTTCAATTCTCTGATGCTACCATGTTTACTGTGGTAAGCCGGCTTTGACTCCCAGCAGCTTTACAGCACGCTTCCCACTACGCATGTATGTGATGCGCTTTGTGAATGGGCCCACAGCCTTCTGCGACCTGTGACATGTCGCAGGAGGTAGACTTCTGCTCGGATCACTTGGGCAACCCGAACGGAAGTGTGTGAGCGAGTCCCGCTTCATAAGAGGCCATAGGAAGGAAAGTTTTGCTTCCCCAGAAGGTGGTGACAAAGGGCACCTCCATGCTTTATCCAAGCTTCAACTTAAAAAAATGCAGGTTCCTTTTGGTACATGGCTTGGCCCACAAAGACCACTAATCCCCTCTGCAAAGTCCTCTTCACAATGAAGAGGTTCCCTCACTCCTAAGAGTGGAAGGGATGCCTATTGCAGTTTGCATCTCTTTGAGTCAGACATCCCAGATCTATGGGTTCGATTGGTGTTTCAAAAGTGTACAAGAGTTCAAAACTCTCTCATCTCACCGCTTTCAACTTTCAGATCAACCAAAAACTGTCAAATGACCATCTGATGAGCAAAAGGCTCTGAACCACTTTTTGCACCAGGGTACTGTTGCACCAGTGCTGCCACAGGACAAGTTCAAGAGACAATACTCAAACCTAATTAGTGCTAATTCCCAAGCAAGGTATCCATCCTATTCTGAAAATCTCCCCAAAAAAGTCTTCACACTTCAAAATTTCATATGAAATCTGCTAGGTCAGTAAATGCCATTCTGAGACCAGGGGAAAACATAGCATTCTGTTGACATCCAGGATGCCTATATGCATGTTTCCATTTATCACCTCATAAGCAATTTCTACATTTTGCTTTTGATACACTTTAGTTTGTTGCATTGCTTTTCCTCCTATCCTATGCTCCTAGGGTGTATACAAAAAAAATCTTAGCACCTTTTGCTTACTTTCTCAGAACTCAGGGCATCCAGGTGACAGGCTATCTAGATGACCTTCTGCTAAAAGATTCACCTCCTTTACATCTCCCAGCAAATGTCCAAAAGCTGATTCTGATGCTTCAGGCTTTTGACTGGGGGATCAACTGTAAAAGTGCTGCTCTCCAACCCTCTCTGCCCTTAGAATACTTGGGTCTGAATCTGCATACATCCCAGGCAAAGGTCTTTCTTCCAGAGCTCATGCTCCACAACTGAGATTGATATGAATTTCACAGTGAGATTTGCTGTGGGAGTTTTGGGTCTCATGGTGGCCTCCTTTAAGGCACTACCTTTTTTGCCCAATTCCATCCAAAAGCTTTCCATCTAAACATTGTCAGCATGAAAAAAGCAGGCGGTTTTCTATGGATCAACCCATGCTCCTATCCACCTAAGCAAAAAGGTCCTTGTTCTGATGAATCACCATTCTAACAGTGGGAAAATCTTTCCTTAACTACAGTTAGCTCTTACAACAGATGCAAATCAAGCTGGGCAGAAGCCTTCTGATCCTTGACAGTTCTGAGAACAGGGTCAAGAGAAAAGAAAGAAACAAACTTGCCACCAAAGTAGCCTTTGTGATCGCTATATAACATTTTGTCAAATGTGTTTATGAACTGGCGGCCTATATCAGTAAAGAGCCTTTGTCTAGTCTTCAGTTCATACTTTTTTTTTTTTTTTTGTGGCATAGTTCCATTTGCTTATTTGTTGCCCATCCTTATACTCCTTGCTTGGGGATGTATCATGGTGTATGAATAAGTTGCTTGTATCCTGTTCTGTACAAATAAGATAAGAGGAATTTATACATACTTGTACATACCATATCTTTGATTACTGTACAGGACACATGCCACCTTCCGTAAACTCTCCTTGTTACTCAGCATTGCTTGCTGCAAAACTGAACTCACTGAGTGGGGTAGGGTTATAGGGGAGGTGCCATTGCGGAGCGTGTCCTCAAAAGCTTGCTAGGTCTGATCACCTGAAGGTAGGAGCCTGTAACCCATGGTGTATTATTAAGTTGCCTGTGTCCTGTACTGTATTTGAAGATATGGAATTTTTTGACTTAAGGTAAACCTGTTTTTTTTTGGAGTACAGAAAACAGATCTATCCCTTTTGTTCTTTATAATCTCCCTTTTGCTTGCTGCAACATTGAGGCTTACTGGGAATAAGAGGGTGCTTTATGAGGGATGTCCCTGCGGTTTTCTTTTTGCCAGTGTCCATTCACCTGAAGGCAGCTGCATATAACCCATGGTTAAAAACTACAAATCCTGTGTCCTGTACTGTACTCTAGGAAATTGATTTTGCTGGGAAGTCAAAAATCCAATTTTCTTAGTCCATTGAATGACGTAAATCCCACCTCTTTGTGTTTGTTTATCATCATGTTGTTTGTACTGCTCACTATGAAACTTGAGGCATGCTGGTAGTAGGGGGTAATTATCCTGACTATCCTTGTAAGTAGCAGTATAACTGGAAAGTGAATGAGTTCCTGTGTCTCTGTGTGGGGTTCAAGAAAAAGGATTTTATGGCAAGTACAAAAATCCTATTCTATATTCTGTAAACTGTAGATGCAGCTTCTGCTCCAGAAACAGACTGTCTCAGCAAGGAGAAGGCAAACAGCTTCAAGAGTCCAAGGACTCAAGATTTGACAGCAAAATTAAGGAAAGCTGTGGAAAAAGGAGATTCAGATGCTTTTGCAGAACTCATTTGGAGCAATCCTCGTTATCTTATAGGGTCAGGAGACAACCCAACTGTGGTACAGGTAAGGTTGTTCACAAATTCTCTTGTCATTATTTTCGGATACTGAAAACTGATCTAATCAAATTATTATTTTTATTTTTTTTAAAAATCAGAGCTGTTTAAACATTTTATGACAGGCAACATACTAGTACGTCGCCCGACTTTGGTTTTACTGCAACTGCAGGAAGAATCCTGGTATCATTTTTCACAGCTGGAGGTTGGCTAATTAGCCACTTGATTTGCTTTTACAAGTGGTGGGAGGGGATGTCCCATCCCACCGGGAGACCCGTATGTGCATTTGGCGGTTTCGCGGGCTGACCATAGAGCTGGTTGGGGACCTGAACAGCCCCAATCTATATGGTCTGAGAAACCGGAAGCGACAAATAATTTGTCACTTCTGGTTTCGTGAATGTTAACCACCATTTTTAAATTGGGGAAAGAATCCGATCACACCAATCTTGGTGTAATCATATGCTATTAAGGGCAGAGGAGAAATTTGGGGTGTCTCAGTAAAGAGTACCTGTAACTGCCTGTTGTCATAAGGGATGTTTAGAGTGTACAATAAAATTAAATTTTTAAATGCTCCTCCTCCCCCCCCCCCGCCATCACTATCGCTGTGAACATCCGAGCGAGAGCAGTAATTCTAACACCAATCCTCTTGTAAATCTAAAATGATAACCTGTATAGGCTTTTAAAGCATGGCCTTTGGAAACCTTCTCATTTGTGATGACTTTGTGTCATGTTCTGATACAGGTTTAGATGTACCTGCTACTGTTTATCAGCCCCTGCAATGTTTTCTCTTACTCCCAGTACAATGTTATTTATATGCCAGCAGATTTATTTACTTTGTATAAAATTTTAAAACCCAATAAAACTTTGTGAAATAAAGCCTCACCTATGTACTTAATTTTCTCTGTTGCATGGGCGTACACAGTTTTAAAACGTGAAATGTTTGGTATCTATTTACTCGGCATAACATCTTTTATATTTTACCAAAAATCAGACTGGTGAGTCCAAACCAGATAAAATGCAAGTGTTAAACCAGTACATGAAGGAGAATCTCCACCACCAAAAGTCATAAATGCAGGTTTACCAGAAAGTCATGGCTCTTTTACTACAGAGAAGTCACAGGATATAGTATCCATGGTCACATAACAGTTGAGTCTTCTACTCCTTTTCTGAAGATATGACTTCTAATAGCATGGCCAATGACAGGTCCTGTTTATGGAGACATCTGGGGTCTATCAGACCCCCATATCTCCCCTCTGGCCTCCAAAATATCTGCTCAAACTAAGATAGGTGAGAAGGAATACTCCAAAGTGAGGGAATCCTTGGTTGTCACCAGACCTTGTGTCCCTATTGGAAGATTTCCCCTCTATTAATGTTCTGAACCATCCTAAAATTTGGGTTTTTATTTCACTTTCTGTGTAATGGTAAACCTGACACCTAGAGAGGGTGAATCACTCTATTGGGGGCACAGACAGGTTTTTATTGCTGAAAGGTGTTCTAATCCATCGCCACTCTATTTAAAACTAATGTTTTGCCATTAGTTATACTTTAAGTTGCTGAACCTTGTGATATTCTGTCTTGTTGCTTTTCATTGTAAAATGTTTGGTGGTAAATAGTGCCAAGAAAACTATAGTGCTGTATCTTATAACAAGCACTTTTCTAAAAACTTTTGCAGCAGGTAAAATTGGTCAAATTAATGAAGATTCATCTGTTGTCGATGAGGATCTCTATACTTTGCTATCTCTGCATATAATTGGTGTTCTATATAATGTGTTTGCTCTGAATTTATTTTGTATTCTACAGGAAGGGTGCAGATACAATGTCATGCATGTTGCTGCCAAAGAGAACCAGGCTGGGATCAGCCAGATGTTGCTAGATACTTTGGAGAACCCAGAATTCATGAGGCTTATGTATCCCGATGATGACTATAGTATGCTTCAGAAACGTATTCGGTATATCGTTGACCTTTATCTAAACACACCAGATAAAATGGTAAATGATCTTACTGATTAGCTTGGTTTTCTTAAAAAAAAAAAAAAAAAAAAAATACTCAGTAAATATTTTCTTTGTTTTATACTTTCTTTTCAGGCTTTTGACACTCCTTTGCATTTTGCTTGCAAATTTGGAAATGCAGAAGTAGTCAATGTGCTGTGTTCACACCCTGATATTATAAAAATTCCCACAAATAAGTATGATCAGACTCCAGAGGAGGTAATATTGCTTTCTGTGCTTCATGATCAGTTAAGTTCTAAAATTGCTGTGAACTGCATTATTAAAGGACCAGAGGTATTACCTGACTTACCTATACATCTTAAAAGAAAAAAAGAAAAAAAAAAATTTTTCCTAGGCTGTTCTGCTGTACGGGTTTTTTTTTATCTACCATGGCTTTTTATATAGAACATGTTTTTGGTGCTATAAATGATGCATATTTCATACTGTTTCATAATATAGCCTTAAAGGATATTTTCACCTTTTGTAATCTGTTGTAATAAAAGCACTTTTTTTTTTTTTTTTTTTTTACCTGCAAAATCATTTGCATTTATTAATGTATTTTAAAGGTGAACGTAGCCTTTAAACAGGGTTTCGGGAAATAACTTGCACTGTTTAGTTTTAGTACTTCATATGTTGTGATTTACTATTTTGACAATTTTTAATATTTAGAACATGGCTTTCTACTGTACATCCAGCTTATCTCTGATGCACTGATATATTGGTATCCTATTTGGCTGCCAATTCATTGAATCGGGTGACAGTACTTCTAAACAATAATTTGTGTGTGCACACAGGTAATATGTGAACGAAGCAAAAATAAATCTACAGAGCTGAAAGTAAAGATTAGAGAATTTCTAAAAGGTACATGCTCAATTTTCCTTGTGTGTTGTTCTGGATCTACCCGTCTGTTTTCCTTTTTAACTAAATACAGAGTTGGGAATATTGCCTTTCAGACCTATTAAGACGTTTTTTTGCCCCCTTTTTAAGAGCTTAGTTCTTTAAATGAGACGACACTGTTGCCTAAAAGTGTTGGGAATGTTGTACATACATGTAGTGTCAAACACTTTAGGACTACCCACATTGTACTGCCAGTAGGCAGCTCCTACAGGCAAATGTACCTGTACGTTGCTCCCTGTTTCTAGCTTCAGGGCATATGCCCCCTTCAGTGGTGATCAAATACCACCAAAAGAGAGCTCTGTTTTTGTAGAAAAAGATATAAATTTCATTTGGATACAGCATTGCAATTACCAGTTAAAGTAGTGCAGTGCTAAATGGCAAAAAAAAAAATTTTCATCCGTCTTTTATTAACAAAAAAAAAAATTGTTTTGCTTGACACCTAATTACATGAGATCACAAAATGTTTTTGGGAAAGGTGGGTAATTGTAGCTTTATAAAAAGAATTATTTGATGCAGAGTGGCTTTACCCTGTCAGGTATACTGACAAACAAAAGTCTGCGCAACATGTAGCTTTGTGTGTAATTTAGGCACTGAGCAATTTAACCCCTCCATCCAGAATCTGTATCTAAACACTCCCAGCATCATACCCCATGCTGAATTAAGTTTCTTTAATGCTGTCCTTTGAGAACCTGCAGCTAACACTTTTTGTGTGGCTTGAGGCTCTCGGTCTCACTGACTGCTTGAGTCCTCACTAACTATGAGAAATCCTGTGGTTTACGTACGTGTTCACAGTCTTCACTAAGAAAAAAAAAACCCCCAAAAAGCAGGTGAAACACTTGCAACTTCAAGCTGTAGTGCCATTATTTACTGTTTTCACACTAAAATGTTTTGTTGAACCGCTCGCAAATAATGCACCGCATCCCGAAAAGATTAGAGCATGTCAAAGATTTGTGTTAAAGGACTGGGACTTTTCAGGTACCAAAATAATGTATGAAAAAAAGATTATTTTAATGAAATTATGTACATTTTACTCTACAATGTATAAAATTGATTTACAAAAGCTTTAAACAATAAGCTGGTTCTATGTAATCATTACTAGTCAACAAATGGAGCCTCTCCTAACCACACCAATATGTCACACAATGTCAGTATATTCAGTTTATGCATTTGGTGGGCTCAGGTCACTATGCAGCTTTCAGACCCTAGGAATCTGCTTCCTCAGATCAGCTGCTTCCCGCCCAGCCTATTGACAAATGACAGCTGAGTGGAAGCTTTCTGGTTCTGGGAGGAAGTCATATGACTGTGCCCATGGGACACGTGACTAATCACATTATATTTGCACTCAATGAATGACTTTCATTCATAGCCTTTCATTGTGACCAAAAAATTACAACTTCAAAAAAACTCACCAAGCCTTTTATTAAATACCTTGGGCTGTCTTCCTAAATATTGGTAATTTGAGGGGGGGACTGGGGACGGACGGACGGGGGTTGTATTTGTACCATCCTGCCATTTTTGGGCCTCAAGAAATAGGCCATCTGTACATCAGGATTGATCAATTTTTACACATACACACACACAGTGATGGAAGGAAGTATATGTTTGCCCACTCACAAAGAAATGATTAGTCTAAAAATCGAATGGTAGGTGTATTGTAACACTGAGAGACAGAATAGCAACAAAAATTCAAAAGAAATGCATGTCTAACAAATTATGCACTGATTTGCATGTTCATGAGGGAAATAAGTGTTTGATCCCCTTCACAAAACTTGACTTAGTACTTGGTGGCAAATCCCTTGTTGGCAATCACAGAGGTCCGACGTTTCCTGTAGTTGGTCACCAGGTTTGCACACATCTCAGGAGGCTCATTGTCATGCTGGAACACCCATCCACGACCCATTTTCAATGCCCTGGCTGAGGGAAGAAGGTTCTCGCCCAAGATTTGACGGTACATTGCCCCGTCCATCAATCCTTTGATGGAGTGCAGTTGTCCCGTCCCCTTAGCAGAAAACACCCCCAAAGCAGAATGTTTCCACCACCATGTTTGACAGTTGGGATGGTGTTCTTGGGGTCATAGGCAGCATTCCTCCTCCACCAAACACAGCGAGTTGAGTTGATGCCAAAGAGCTCGATTTTGGTCTTATCTGACCACAACACATTCAACCAGTCCTCCTCTGCATCATTCAGATGTTCAGTGGCAAACTTCAGATGGGCCTTGACATGTGCTTTCTTGAGCAGAGGGACCTTGCGGGCACTGCAGGATTTCAATCCTTGTCGGCGTAGTATGTTATCAATTGTTTTCTTGGTGACTGTGGTCCCAGCTGCCTGGAGATCATTGACAATATCCTCACGTGTAGTTCTGGGATGATTCCTCACTGTTCTCATGATCATTGACACTCCACGAGGTGAGATCTTGCATGGTGCACCAGACCTAGGGAGACTGAGTTGTTTTTGTGTTTCTTCCATTTGCGAATGATTGCACCAACTGTTATCACCTTCTCACCAAGCTGCTTGGCTATAGTTTGGTAGCCCAGTCCAGCCTTGTGTAGGTCTACAATCTTGTCCCTGACATCCTTGGACAGCTCTTTGGTCTTTGCCATGGTGGAGAGTTTGGAATCTGATTGTTTGATCGCTCCTGTGGACAGGTGTCTTTTTTTTATACATGTAACAAATTGAGATTAGCAGCACTCCCTGTAAGAGACTGCTTCTAATCTCAGCTTGTTACCTGTATGAAAAATACCTGGTAGCCTGCTGAATGATAGGGGATCGAATACTTATTTCCCTCATGAACATGCAAATCAGTGCATAATTTGTTAGACATTTCTTTTGAATTTGTTGTTGCTATTCTGTCTCTCAGTGTTACAATACACCTACCTTATTTCCTTCACTGTATATATTTGTATTTATTATTGTTTATTTCTCCCTCTTCCTCCAACTTTTTATACTTGACCTCCAGAAGATTAACCTTCCCCCCTTTGTCATTCCTGACCAGGCCATTTTAGCGATATGGCACTGCGTTACTTTGACAATTGCGCAATCATCATGCCATGCGACGCTGTACATAAATGAAATTTGTCACTATTTCCCACAAATGGAGCTTTCTTTTGGTGTTCTTTGATCACCCTCTGTGTTTTATTTTTTGCGTTATAAACAAAAAAAGACCGACAATTTTGGAAAAAAAAAAAATATTTTTTTGACTTTGCTATAAAACATATCCAATTAAAAAAAAAAAGTCTTCATAAATTTAGACCAAAATGTATTCTGCTACATGGTTTTTGGAGAAAAACAAAATCCCAATAAGTGTATATTGGTTTGCGTTAACATTGGTGTCTACAAATGACGGTTTATATACTGGATTTTTTTTTTTTTTTTGTATACTAGTTCAGTGACTTATAGCAGGACTGCAGCAGGTATTCTGACACTGGGTGGGAACTAATTAACTCCCAACATCTGGGGCGATCAAAGGGTTAACAGTGTGCTGTTTTGTGCCTACTGTTTGCTGTTTCACTTGAGGGCTTGCTGCTTTCTATCTCTCTGCTTTGCAGAGAGAAAACAGCATGTCCCTGCTGACAGGAGAGAGACCTGTGTTTACACACAGATCTCTCCCCTGTCAACGTCTCCACTGATCAGCGTCCCGGCTATAAATCTCTGGCTGGGACCCAGTGATTGAGATCTCTGGGAGCGTAGGGCGGCGTGTCCGCGCTCTCTACCCGCAAAATTCAAAATCATGCGGCCACCCTGTAGCAGTATATCTGCTATAGGGTGTTCCTTAAATGGTTAAGGTTTTAAATGCAATATAGAAAATGCTCTATCAGGGCACGCTTCATAGTGTGATAAAAAAAAAATTTGTCATATAACAGAAGGTAGTCAGTGCAAATTATTGACATACCTAAATGCACATGGGAAAGGAGAAAAAGTATGTAAATCTGTTCTTATTTGAGTTATTTTTACCACAGAAATGTAGCAGAATACATTTTGGTCTAAATTATGAAGAAAGATTTATATGCACAATCTCTAACTTAACTGAGTAATTTCTATTGAAAGTGTGACAGTGCTGAAAGCTGGAAATTGGCTTGGGTAGATAGTGGGCTAAGGTGTCCAGCATTGAAGTGGTAAAATTAAATAGAAGTATAATAGGTAAATAAGTAGGGGTTTAAAGACTAGGATATATGGTCAGAAAACCGCTTGCATTGAGAATGACATCTGGGATATCAAATAAGGGGGGATATCCTCCTGCGCTTAATATGGGTAGGTCCCTATCTACTAGCTGCAATCACTCAAACTCAACCAATAAGTCAAAAAATACCGTGCATAAAATAGTGAAGCGCTCCCAAATTAACTAAAAAAATTATTCTATAAGTGAAAAATTACATAAACACTTCTCATATATACCCATATACTATTAACTCTTAATAGATCTGTGATAAAAGATACCAAAATATACAATTCATAATATATAGTGATAAAAACAATTAACATAATACTACTGATTCATAGAAATGTGACAAAACGTGATACTTGTGACACAACTGAATATCAAAAAAAAAGATATATAGTGATGCTGCGAAAGGTAAATACATATGTCTGTGGTAAACCCTATAACAAATTAGAAAAAAATTGCTTCTTAGATCAAAAAAAATATAAATAAATAAACTCAGTGTTTCAAAAAAACTCAAATAATCCATGCAAAAAATGTGAAACACTCTGTGATCTTCACTTCTAGTGCTCAAGAAAGGAATCCTCCAACGGCAGAAATGCCTGCTCACCTCCCCTCCTCGACCCACACAGGGCCAAAAGGCAAAAAGGCTCTCCTTAAAGGCAATCCTTTCCTCCAAGCAACTCGGGCAGGAACCTCAGGACTTCCACTCCACCTCCTCGTAATCTTTTTGTTAAAATCTTGAAACCAGAGTTTTTAATTCTCAGTACTCCACAGCTCGCGCCTCGCTCCCCAACCAATGCAGACACGCCTCCTCACTGAGTTTATTTATTTATATTTTTTTTGATCTAAGAAGCAATTTTTTCTAATTTGTTATAGGGTTTACCACAGACATATGTATTTACCTTTCGCAGCATCACTATATATCTTTTTTTTGATATTCAGTTGTGTCACAAGTATCACGTTTTGTCACATTTCTATGAATCAGTAGTATTATGTTAATTGTTTTTATCACTATATATTATGAATTGTATATTTTGGTATCTTTTATCACAGATCTATTAAGAGTTAATAGTATATGGGTATATATGAGAAGTGTTTATGTAATTTTTCACTTATAGAATAATTTTTTTAGTTAATTTGGGAGCGCTTCACTATTTTATGCACGGTATCTGGGATATCAAAATCTCCCAAGATCCCTAATTGTATGAGTTCCAAATAATTGCCAGTCCTAGCCGGTATGCATCTTTTTATGAGTTACAATCCTCTTTAGGATGTACTATATGTGAGTGTATGTACTGTTGTATTTCTTTCAATGTACGCTTTACGCAGGAATTTGTGTTTCTAATTTGCAACAATTTTTACTCCCAGGGCACTTTTATGTCCCTCTACTTCGTGCAGAGGATAACTCTTCTTTCCCAATAATTGGAGTTTCCCTGGTCAACTGAACAGCCAGATGTTCTCGCTCAGCCCAAATACTTTGTCAGCCCCAAAGATCCCTCACTAACAGTTAGAGCATTTGCTGGACCCATGAGCCCCTCAAAGGTGAGAAACCATTTTAGCTTAAAAAAAATAAAATACTGACTAAATGTGTGGGTATGTTTTTAAGAAGATGAAATTTAAAAAAATAAGTTTAAACTACTCTTTGCTGCCGCAGTTTGCAGCATTATGGAGCTTTCCCTAAAAATACCATGTAGAGCAAGTTATGCTAATGTCTCTTTAGTGGGCAATCAAGGTGTGGTGTTTTTTTTTAGGCTGAGGACTTTAGAAGAGTTTGGAAGACTCCACCACGGGAAAGGGCTGGATTGTTTCACAATATCAGAAAAACTGATCCAGAAAGAGGCGAGGAAAGAGTGGGGAGGTAAGATTCTGGCTTCTACAATCATAGAGAATATGTGGCTAACCAAAACTTTAGATGTACCTTTCAGGGTTCTTTCAGACCTGTCCACTCAAGTGCTTTGCATTGACGCACGCATGTTGTGTTTAAGACAGCCCATTCAATTGAATTGGCTGCCAGGTAGCAGCCCATTGCAGCAAACACATAGTGGTGCATTGTGGTGTGCTGCATCACGTGTGTTAACTTGCTGCATTGGGGTGCAGTTGAGAGCGCATGCATTGCTGAAATGCATCGCAGTGGACAGATGTGCCGCTAGGCATTTGGTGTTTATTTAACTGATGGTGCTTGCTTACAGAAAATCCTGCTAAAACACTGGAAACCTGCATTAGGGAAAAAAAATGCACTGTCAAGAGCCTGAAAACATATTTAGACATTCATACGCATTTTTTTTTTTACTTTGGGATTGTTAGATGACACTATATCAGATTTAACTTGTATAGTTGCGAATTCACTGAAATTTGAAGTTCAAAAGTTTCTCTAGGACTTAGTAATTGTTACATTTCAACAAATAAGATCTAGGCATTTCAAATCACAAACCAATGCTATCCTGGAATACCATATGTGGTTTGAGGGTACAGGCAATACATGCTTATTATTGTGATCTTGAGAAACTGTCCGCATGATCTTGAGAAACAAACATGTACAGAGTTGGCTGCTACATTTGGTACATAAATGAGGCTTCAATGTTCTGCTCTACACTATACTGATGTTTGCCCTCTACTTTTGGTCACTTACAGGGAACTTGCCCATGAGCTGGATGTCCCTTGGGTGGAGTATTGGGAGTTTCTAGGCTGTTTTGTTGATATCTCTTCCCAGGATGGTTTGGGGAAACTGGAGGAATACCTGAGCAAGAAGGAGGCAAGTGAGAGATTGCAAACTGACCATGATCATGAAATCTGCAACAGATTTAAAACTCCATCTCCAGCAGGTAGGCATCAGGCAAAGAACATGTAGTTGTAAGTAACACCTGCAAACACCCAAGTGCATGACAACAGGATTGTATCTGGAAATTTGTGTTGTGCATGTGCCCCCCCCCCATTGTCAACTTCTCAAATGCACGCCACACTTTTCACATATTTATTTGTAAAAGATGTTGAAACCCATTTACCTTTTTCCTGCCACTTCACATTATGTGCCACTTTGTGTTGGTCTGTCACATAAAATCCCAATAAAATACATTTACGTTTTTGGTTGTAACATGACAAAATGTGGAAAACTTCAAAGGGTATGAGAATTTTTTCAAGGCATTGTAACAATGTGTGATCTGTAAATGCATTCTTTTAAAAGCATATATTTACATATTTACAGGAAAGAGTAAAAAGTGCTGCAATTCTGTTTCTGTGGGAGCATTCTTGGATGACGAGGAAGACATCAGTCTTGAAGAAATAAAAAACAGACAGAATACAGCACTGAAGAACAGCTTATATTTGGAGACAATTGCAGCGCCAGAATGCATAATGGACACTACACCAATACCCAGTAGTCCTCATAAAGAAGAATCCAAGCATAGTGACTGCAGGCATCAGCAGGAGTTTGAAAATAGGATGTTATCTCCAGTGTCCAACCTCTTGGCTGAGTTTGAAAAAATGTCATTGTCAGAACTGCAAGCAGATGAGGTATCCCATACAGGTGTGGCTGTAGAGAAGCAAGGTAAAATGACTGTTCATGATGCAGACATTGAATCTGAAAGCTCACTGATTAGGACAGAAAGTTCAGGTGTGTTGCGTGCTGGTGAAGCCCTTTCCAATATGAGCCTTTCAGGCAAACCAACACTGCGACACAACAGTGAGCTGCCACTCTCAAATTACTGTTCAGAATCTCCTGCTTCACAAGTAATTATGAAAACGCCATTAAAACACCAAAGTTACAGAGCAACATTTCTGGTTGGGTATGTATGCTATATCATGCTTTGAACTTTTAACAGCTTGCCTTTCAGCTTCATTTCACGATACAATGGCGTTAAATTGGTCTTCGAGTAATGTTTATATAAAATGACATCTAATTCACATAGACTTTTTTCTGTAATGATAAATGCCTGTCTTTCCTCTTGAACAGAGCTGTGTTGTTTTTTTTTTTTTTTTTCCTTTCATTAGCAAAAGATGCATGAAAATTGCCCTGAGCTTAATATGGTTGTAAAGGCAGACGATTCTCTACCTTATAAATTAATCCAAAAAGAGAATATTCCCTCTTTTTTTTCAACTACCTATGTGTGCAACAACAAAAAAATCCCCATATATTTCTAAACGTGAACTACCAGAAAATCATAAAGTTCCAAAGTCCCAATAATCAAAACAAAATCATAAAAAGTCCAGTGTCTCAATAATCAAAATAATGAAACCAAAAAGTTATGAATCTTGCAACGTTGATTGTGTTCAGTGAATTATGTGAAAAACCTCAAAGAAAAAGAAACTCACAATAGTGCATTACCGTAATAAAATCAGAAGAGAAAAAAAAAAAAATAAAAAAAAAAATTATCTTATATATATACGCTTACATGCACACACAAATGTGTATCATAGAATTGTGCCACACTAAGTGATAGTGAAAACCTTCCAAACAATTAATAAAAATACTTGTGCTCAAAAAACTCTGAAATCCTGAAGTGAAACATTCAGTGAAATTGCTATCCACACGTGACACTTCTAGTGAGTAAGGCAAATATACCCTTACCAACCGTAGAGAAAAACCACGCCTTTATAATATATTTAGTAGAAATCCTCCAAAAGAACTTTCTCCTCCTCTCCTCCTTGCACTTATTGTCAGGGTGATGTTATAATGCCATCCACTTTCACAGGTCTGTAATCATGGTTTTACCAGGCTCCAGTATAATAAATATTTGCCATGATATACCTCCATGTATTTAAAGTAGCATTTTAATAAATCTTCTTACATAAAAATATGCGATTAGAACAGAAAACCCCACTTTAATGGGGATTACCAGGCAGTTCCCCCAGTTTTCCAGGCAGTTCATACACAGGTATCCAGCGATTCCCCAACAAAGATGGCCGCTGTAACACTTCCGGTTCCTGTTTCTTACGTATGACGTCACTTCCTGCTGATGCGTTTCGTCACTTCCGGGACTTAATCATAAGAGAGAGAGACGTCCTGACACCTGGCCACAATAAATACCACTCCTCAATTGACTGATGATACTCCGATCGCCATATTGAAAGAGGGAAACATCGCCCTTACTAAACCGCACAGCCGACAAACAGGAAATACACTCCCTATGCAATCAACAAATTAGGAGCATACCCAGTAAAACCGCATACAATATAGCGACCATATCTTAATAATCTAAAATACAAAAATTACATTTTAACTAGACATAATTACACATTAAATTAATAAAACATTAATATAAAAACATTATTTTATTTAATATCCCCTACTTTTATATATATCTCCTGGGACCCATGTCATATACTAAACTCTATTTAAACTGGTGTCTACACTTAGCACCCCCCACTGGTCATAATAAATATTACCATCTCAACAAAAAAATAAATATTCTCATAAATTACACATGGAAATATAATTCATTATAAATAAAAATTACTTATCTTTTAACCTAAAAAAGCTAGGAGAATATTAGTTTTAAAATATTTATAAAATAAACTAAAATAAATTAAAATAAAATCAGACATTTTATTTATTAAAAATTAGAAATAAAACAATTAAGATCTAAATCCACATTTAATCCTCTAGGTCTAAGAGTTCTTAATTGAAATATCCAGAATGTTTCATTTTGTGACAAAATTTTAATTTTATCACTACCTCTCCAGTGAGCTTCTATGGAATCAATCCCACAGAATTTCAGGGACCCCGGATCACAATTGTGGACGTCCCTGAAATGTCTGGAGAGACAATGGTCTTTTTTACCTTTTCTAATATTGTTAACATGTTTGCTCAATCTTTTGTGAAGGGGTCTTGACGTTCTGCCCACATATTGTAAGTGGCATGAACATTCTAATAAATAAGTAACAAATGTTGAATTACAAGAAATAAACTTTTTTATTTCAAAACTCTTTCCTGTATTTTGGGAGGTAAAATCCTTAATAGATCTGCTATTAATACCTGTTGTTTTGCATATAGAACACTTTTTACAGGGGTAGAAACCTTTAAGATTGAACATATTTATCTTCTTTTTTCTGGGGGGAGAAATGACATTTTTTACTAAAATATCCCTTAAATTGTTTGTTCTCCTATAGATAAAAATAGGTTTTTCCGGTATTACCTGGCCCAAAACTCTATCCTTTTTAATAATTGGCCAGTGTTTGTTAAAGATAGATTCTATTTCTTTGTATTGGCAATTATATCTAGATATAAACGCATAATCCACCCTTTTATTTTTCTCTTTTGTTTGTTTAGATTGATAGCTAACTTTTTGATCTCCAATATAATTTTTACTAATTTCAAATCTAATATTTTCTAACTTAATGGGGTCATTCTCTACCTTAATGCGTTCTATGCATTAAGGTTAAAACACTTTGGGGCTGGTTGAGGAAATGGCGCCACTTAGAACACAGAGGACATTCTTGTCCATTACTTTATTCTGTGCCCGCAAATCTATATTACGCTATTGGAAAAAGTCTGAAGCCCCATCTCTGTCGTTTTGGAAAAGTATAATTAAAAACCCCTGCACACCTAAGGGTACAACAAATCTTAAAGCTTAAGCACAATTTTTCAACTTTGACATGTTAGCAAAACCGTACATATCATCACACCAACTTCATGCATCCAGGTGGATTATACCTTGGTTTTTTTTTTTTTAGGACAAATTGGGCTTTCATTTGGTGGTAAATGGTAATGGATATCTCCTGATTTTTTTATTTATTTTTATTATTAACCACTTGCCTTCCAGGCACTTGTACCCCCTTCCTACCCAGGCCAATTTTCAGCTTTCAGCGTAGTTGCACTTTGAATGACAATTTCGCGGTCATGTAACATTGTACCCATATGAAATTTTTTTTTTTTTTTTAAATTTTCACACAAATAGAGTTTTCTTTTGGTGGTATTTAATCACGGCTGGTTGTTTTATTTTTTGCACTATAAGCAAAAAAAGAGCAAATTTTCTATTATAAAATTTTGCAAACAGGTAATTTTTCTCCTTCACTGATGTGCGTTGATGAGGCAGCACTGATGGGCACTTATAGGCGGCACTGATGGGTACTGATGAGGTGGCACAGATAGGCAGCACTGGTGGGCACTGATGATGCTGCACTGATAAGCAACAATGATGGACACTGATGAGGCAGCACTGATGAATCTGTACTGATGAGCAACAATAATGGGCACTGATGGGTGGCACTGAGTGGGGGCACTGCTGGGCACTTGTGGGCGGCACTGCGACAGCATGACCAAAGTGCAGCCAATAACCAGCAACTGCATTTACTGTTGATCTGCTGTGTCATTGGACACAGCTGATCACGTGGTAAAAGACCGCTGTGATTGGCCTTTTACCACATCACATGATCTGCTGTGTCCGTAAGACACAGCGATCACGGAGATCGGCGGGGACGTGCAGGAAGCCGCATTCTGGGAGGACGTCATATGACTCCGTTCCAGAACTGGACAACCACGCTGTAGCCATCATTGAGCTATAGCGCAGTTGGCAAGTGGTTAACCATTAGCCGCCCGGCCAATGGCCGTTTGGCGGCTTCAATTGTGTCCCTGCATTCCGGGTGCACGCCATTTGGCGTGCTCCCGCACATGCGCCGTTTGCGCTAATGCAGAGCGGCGCAGCAGCGGGATCTGTCACGGGCCGTGCACCTCGGACACGGCCGATGACAGATCCGAGTACCGGCTCCCGTTGCTGGTACCATGTGACCTGCTGTGACCAATCACAGCAGGTCACATGACAGTTGTATACAATGGATGGCTTCATTCATGATGCCATCCATTGTATACTAGTGCCTAGCTGTGAATGGTCACAGCTAATCACATGCACATGTCATGTGATTAGCTGTGACCAAATCACAGCTAAGCACAAAAAAAAAAAAAGCTGAATGAATCGATTTCATTCAGGTAAATGCTTGCTTATAGCAAAGTAATTCTTTGCTATAAGCAAACTGTGTAAAAAAAAAAAAAAAAAAAAAATACTGATCACTTCCCCAAAGTAGTGCAATGTTACTATGGTAACATTGCACTACTTTGGTCAAAGTAAAATATGAAAAAAAAAAATCTTAAAAAAAATGTAATAAATTAAATATAATAAAAAAATAAAAAAAATTAAAAAAATATATATATATATTTTTTTTTCATACTGTCACCAGTCAGTGTCCCTGTTTACCGCCATGCCAGTTATATGATGACGCTGTACTGCACTGGTGACAGTATGTAAAAAAAAAATAGTGAAAATTAATTTTTTTAATTTTTTCATTTTCCGAAAAATTATGACAAAAAAATACAACTTCAAAAAACTCGCCATGCCTCTTATGAAGTACGTCGCACTGTCTACTCTGCAAAAAGGGGTCATTTGGGGGATATCTGTACTGTTCTGACATTCTTGGACCTCAAGAAATTAGATTGGCCGTCAGTACTTCAGGATTGATCAATATTCAGATCTATACCATAGTTTGTGAACTCTATAACTTTCCTACAAACTAAAAAATACATCCGAATTTGGGTTATTTTCACCAAAGACATGTAGCAGAATACATCTCGGCCTAAATTTATGAAGAACAATTATTTATTTGTAAACTTTTATAACAGAAACAAAGAAAAATGTTTTTTTTTCAAAATTTTTGGATCTTTTTTTGTTAATTTAGCAAAAAATAAACACCCCAGCGGTCATTAAACACCACCAAAAGAAAGCTCTAGTTGTGTGAAGAAAATGATAAAATTTTAGTTTGGGTACAGTGTTGTATGACCGCGCAATTGTCATTCAAAGTGTGAGAGAGCGCTGAAAACTGGCCTGGGCAGGAAGGTGTAAAATTGCACGGTATTGAAACGGTTAAAGGAAAGCCTACAATTTAAATTAAAAAAAATAATTTTTTTTTTTTTTTTCACTATTTTGGGTCAATTTCTTGCTACTACCATAACCAACCAACCACCAAAGAACAACCCAAAATAATGTATCCTTCTCCTGTCGATCACAGCAATGCCACATATGTGCATGTTGTTGCTTGTACCCATAGAACTGTCCATAAACAATAGTGCGCATTTTCCTTTTTTGTTTTTTTTTTTTTTCATTATATCCGGTCATTAACTGACACTGATACTAATTTAAAAAAATAAATACTGACCTTGACTCAGACACCAACCCTGGCACTGACCTAGATCAAACCTTGATCTAGATATTTTATTTAATTTTTTTTTTTTTTACAAACACTTTTTTTCTCTTTCTCTCTGAAAGGACAGACAGAGATACAATGTAGCAGGGGACCGAAGACGAGGAGGATCCGTTCTGCTCTGTGCAAAACCAATTGCACAGAGCAGGTATGACATTGCTTAGAAACACAAAATTAGCTTTAGAGTCACTTAAATACGCAGTCTCCTGCATCTGTTCTGTTGTTCAAATGCAGGTCTTTATCTGCATACGTTTATTCTGGTTAATTAATGCAAAGTATTGAAGCAGGAGGGTTGGTATGACAGATGGGGCAGCTAGTATGTTTGTTTTTCTTTCTTGTTCATTGAGCAAACCAGGCATTCTTAGACTGATTATACTGCCGCCTATAGGAGAAATGAATGAGAACAAAGGAAGTCCAATCGGCTGCACTCTAAACAATACACTTTATTGAACCAAGATAAAACCGATACAGACAGTGGAAATACAGTGGTAGACTGGCAGGTCATGCATCTGACCCCACCCCAGGTGACATCAATGATGTCACATGGTGCAGGGTCACTTGGGTGATGTCCCCGGGTTGCCCTGCCCCTTACATATTTAAGAACTGTCAAACCACCGGAGCAGGCAGAAGGCTGGAAGCCTTGTCAAAGACCATGTCCTGTCTTTTTGTGAATGAGTACCCCACACTCATTCACATGGGGGGGGATCTGGGGGTCCCGATAAGCCCCCTGCCCGCAGACCCCCACAACCACCGGCCACGGTTGTGGGGAAGAGGCCCCCCCCCCCGCCCCAGAGCACCCCCCCTCCCATGTTGACGGCATGTGGCCTGGTATGATTTAGAAGGGGCGCTCGTTCCACCCACCCATCTTTCCTAACCCGTCGTACTGCATGCTCGGATAAGGCTCTGGTGTGGATTTTAGGGGGGGACCTTCATGCCATATTTTTTTTTTTTTTTTTTTTTTTTTTATGTTGGTGTGGGGAGTTCCATTCAAAACTTGGTGCTGATGGGAGGGGGGGCCCCCACACCGTTTTTTTTTTTTTTTTATTATTATGGTGCCGGGTTTTAAATTTCATTACCGCTCTTTTTTTCTTCACTTTAGCTCAGAAATTCAGCTGTCACTTTCCCCCAGCTAACAGAAAGTTTTCTTTTAGTTTATTTCCCGAGTTGAGAAACAATGTTTCCTTTTAGTTTCTTAAAAGAAACAAAGTTTACGTTAACTCCAGGGAAAGTGACAGCTAATTCTGTGAGCTTTAGTTAAGAAAAAAAAAAGCCGTCAATTGCATTTAAAAATCAGCATTGACATACACTTCGTATTGCGAAAATAATTTGTAAACCGAGGCATTATTTTCCATGGATTTTCATTCGTAAACCGAAAATTACGTTAACCGAGTTGTTTGTAAACCGAGGTATTACTGAAATTCCTTTTGTAATTACAGATGGTTCCGTAAGGATGGTACACAGCTTCAGGCTTTAAGCCAATCAGGCAGCTCTTTGAGCTGCAGGCAATTCCAAGTTTTTTTGTGTTTCTGGTTCATGCAGCCTTTGCTGCTACATAGAGCACCTGCTGTTGGACTGCTTTTGAACTTCCCAACAGTCTTCAATGTTATCCCAATGGAAGAAATGCAAGAAAAATTGTAAGAGATGTAAAAAAAATCCTTTTTTGAGTCCATTGAGTGGACACATTCTCCTCCTCCTGTTTTTCATGCTGTCAGTACTACTTTGCAAAAATCTGAGGCATGATGATTTTGGGCTGGGTTATTTTATGTTGCCAGTGTCCATTTCTACTATAGGCTGCAGGATTACCCATCGCTCTAAGGATTCCTATGCCTCTCAGTGGATTCCAAGAAAATGTTTTTATGATGCATACAAAATGTTTTTTTTTTTTTTTCCTTTATGTAGACTTGGCACACAGTGTTTTTTTATTTAAAGCTAAAGTTTTTACTTGCTATGCAAAGCTAAAGCTTTTACTTGCTAGAGTATTTGCCAAGTAGCATGCTCAGTTGTAATAAATGTACTAATTTCCTATTCTGTTTTCGCAAGCTGTAGATGTTGCATAATTATCTTTCCCATTTCAGGAAGGAGCCTTCCAAACTAGACAGTGATGTTTTAGCAGCTGTGGAAAAGGTGGAAATTGATGCTCAGACATACCCCAGTGTTTCTAGGTGGATTACAGATGTTCTGTCTTACTCCAATATAGAACGACAAAGGTATTGTGAAATCAGTTTTTTATTTTTAGTCTTTTGTTAATTGTGCATTTTGCTAATAGTTTTATCAGCTGACGAGTGCATTTTTTCTTGTACTGTCTTATAGTTGGCCAAGCCCTGCTGTCTTATCAGGAAGAAACAAGTCTCAAACCTGTAGCTCTAACTCCCCGGGTGGCCTTGGCTATTCTACTCCTGGGCGGAGCAGCCCCATTCCAGGGAGTCCTGGGAAATATGTGAACACATCTGATTATAGCAGTCCAGGAAGGTACAGCCCAGCATATGCCAGCCACATTCAACTGCTGCGAATACGCCAGTTCTCTGATCACTCATCCCTTTAGAATGTGCTTTTATCCTTCTTGTTTTTAAGCTGAGGCAATCAACCTGGGGCTGTAAAGATGAGAGAAAAGACTTAAAGGGAATTTGTCAGGATGACTACCGATCACAGCTAAGACTTCTGTCCGGCATTAACCATTGCTCATCTCTAGAAACAGTACTAGTTCTTGGAGCAGTCACTTCATTATGCACATTGCTGCAAAGTCTGTGCTGACATGTTCCCTTTAATTGACACCGTATAAAGAAGCAGATGCCCTTCATGCTTGAGCATCTGTCACAGATGGAATCTACCGCAAGTATGAACCAGGTGGCGAGTAATCCTTTTCACCTTATTGCCATGAAAAAACTTAAATTGTATTGTTTTAAACTTTGATGTTTTAAAACAAAAAACTGTAGTAGTCACAGTCAGGAAATTTGCCAACCACATTGGCGTGTCTGTTAGCTGAATACTTTATTATTTGTGCCAGTGTAGCACTCAGCAATAACTTGGAGTGTGTACCCATGTGCGTAGGGAACTCTGTGTTGTCCCTCTTTTGAAGGTGTTAATGCTAAATACCAAGTCCATTGATTCCCACTTACATGTATCTAATAATGGTCAAGTGCAGATACAATGATTTATTGGCCTCTTTTAAATTCTTATGTTGTATTTTTAAAATATTATGCCATTTTCATAAGTAAAAGCATTTTCTGATCTTTTAACGTTGACGAATGGGTTGTAAAGAACATGTTTAAATGTTGGACACTGACACGTGTTAGTATTTACAGGGTTGTTTTATTCCATATATTGTCCGGTGTTTCAGTACCTAACACTGGAAATGTTATACTGTCCTTTTTTTTTTTTTTTTAAATAACTGAAATTTTGCAAATGAACAAATCGACTTCCAAAGCATTCTGTATTAACCTGAAATTGTGATGATAATGTTGTATATTGACCTGCTTTTTTAAGCTGAAGGAGCAGGCATGAGGTGCTTGTAAATTTACTAAAGAGACTGTTGGGGGGTGACTTTGCTGCAGGTATGAAATGCACTTCTTATCCATAGCAGTCTAGTCTTTCAAACCCTTCTTTTACAGCCAAATCTCAAGCTATTATGACAGGCAACACAATGCTCCAACATGACATGTATAGTTGGTAGTTTGGCCTGCACCCTTACATTCCTTTGTGGCTCATCCTGTTGGGCAGCCTTGCTAGCCAGTAGGATGTGCTGGTATAAAGGTATGGGCAAGCTTTAGTGCTGTCAGAAAGTACAAATACTTTGCCTGTCAGAGCCGCTGAGAATTGTCTGGAACACAAAGGTTTTGAAGGCTGCCCTATTGTTTGTGCAGCACCTGAAACCTGCCGAATTTGTGTTGTTTTTGTTCCCCTGACAATCAGGTTTTTATTTTTCTCCTCATCAACATACAAACTGCAAACTAATAAAGGGTCTTTACCCTCAGCTTTTTTGACAAGGCTGTACTAAAAGCTGAAAAAACAAGTAAAGATGAGCACATAGACAATGAATAATGTGGTCATGGATAGAGTAACTACAATTAAAATGTGTACAAAAGATCTCTTTTGGGTTTGACTTACTGTTGGTTGATTGGTGTAGCCAGTGTGATTGCTTACCTTTTTTTTCCTGTCTATTAAACTACTGCTGCAGTTTTCTTCACCAAGTTGTACACTGCTGCTCCATGCCTTGGGCATTGGATTATTGTGCAGTTGGCTTAAATAACCAACTTGCAAACATTTTTACATTCAAACAAGCTTCTACTAGGTCTGTAAAGGCATTTTACAAAAATGACCACTAATCTTTTAATGTGGGGATTCTGCAGCAAAGTTTGTTTTTAGGTCAGTTTTTTTGTTGGCTTTTCTGTCACTGAACTCTTCATCTTGTAATATTCAGAAATTGCACTACTTTTTTCATGTTTAGCAAGCATTTTTGCTAAGCTGCTGCAACACAGGGTTTTTAGTACAGTATTTTTTTAATTTTCGTATTAATTCATGGCAGTTTGTGGTACTGAATGCATCACCCAGCCATTGGGCTAAATTTTGCACAGTTGTCTCATAGGAACATAACAAATACCTAGACACATCATAGTGGCACGTGCTACTTTGCCTGTGGGACATTGCCCAAAGTAGAATGCTAAATGGAACTTGGTACTGGAGAGCCAAATTTATGAAAAACAGGAGCTTATATTGCTATTTCACAGTCCAATTTTAATGTGTTTGTTTGCTATGGACTACAGTTCTATGTTTACTTTAGTCAGGCTAAATCTTGATAATATATTAATGATCTCTATTACAAATGTACTTGTTGGTATGCATGGATCTACAGATGCAGAGCCTAATCATAGGACAAAGTCCTTTAGCATTTGTCAAGGCTTCTCTTCTATCTACAGCTGTTGGGTTTGGTGGATTGTAGCATTCTTTTCCCATAATGGGAAAGGACAATGCCCCAAAAAAGAGTCTATGTACATGTCCTTAAAGGCACCAGTCTTCCAGCTGCAAAAAAAGGAGCACGTAAATGCATTCACAACCTGTACTGCTGTTCTGAGACAATGGAGAAGTTTGTTATTGTGGTATGATGCCCTAGTTCCCTCCTACCTGTTGGCTAACAGATTTAGAGTACTGTATTCTATTAATATACATATGCCATATTTTAATAATTCCAACCAAAAGTGGTATGTTTAATTCTTGGTATCATTGGAATTATCTGACTTTGTGTGTGGTTTAAACTGTTCTGTCTGAACTGTCAAATATTTATGGTTCTTTAAAAAAAAAAAAAAAAAAAAAAAAAAAGTTGTGCTGGTTAATAAAGCAAATGTGCACATGTCGGCTTATGATATATTACTTGTGTTAAGGTCTGTTCTGCTGTATAAGCACAGTAGAGGTTGCAAAGAAGTCTTGGTGAAGGAGCTGTATTGTACATGTAGTTACCATTTTAGGGCTCTAATGATAACATTCTTGTCCAGTGCAACACTTGCTGAAACAAAGCCAATTTTTTAATTGCAGCGGGACATTGTGTAAAATAGTATATGCCTGTATTCTATTTTTAAATACTTTCAATTTTGTATTTTATGGTTGAATCTTGTTTCTATTAATTTCAGGGCATGGCAAGGTTGATGATCATTCGGTGTATTTTTTGCCATCTATTTCCCATGGGGGGGGGGGGGGAGATTTACCTTCACTTCCTGTCACATAGCAAAAACAGGAAGTGAGAAAATCTCTGTAAATTAAAGGAATTCCATGGTGACTCCCAGGTCACCAGAACTAGTGTCCTTATTGGAAGATTCCCCCATTATCATCAAAAGTAAGAGAGCCCACATTTTAGGTTATTCCCAGAATTAATAATAAACAGGTGGCGAATCTCCCTAAAGGGGGCACAGACAGCAATACAACTCTAATGGGTGTTCTAATCCCTCCCCACGAAAAAAAAAAAAAACAAAAAAAAGGTTTTGCCTTTAAAAGGCTTCATGCATAATGGGTGTTTTGCCCTTGTGCAGGGGTCTCCTAACTTTCTGAACAAAGGGATGGTTTACTGTCCATCAGACTTTGAGGGGGTGGACTGGGGCCAGTGTGAGTAGAAAACGCCCCAACGTCAATGGGAATAAACAATGCCTCATCATTGGTATTGATGAGAGGAATAGTGTTCCATTGTTGGTAGTAGGGGAAAAAATAGTGCCCCATCATTGGGATCATGGAAAGGATTAGTGCCACATTGTTGGTATCAGAGAAAGGAATAGTGCTCTATCATTGGTGTCAGTTAGAGAAATGGTTCCATAACATTGGTGTCAGTGGTAGGAATAGTGCCCCATCATTGGTGTCAGTGGGAAGAATAGTTCCATAACATTGGTGTCATTAGAAGGATTAATGCCGCATGGGCCTGATAAAGGCAAGCAAATGGACACATCTGGCCCCTGGGCTACAGTTTGGAGACCACTGCCCTAGTGTACGAGACTGCAGGTGTGTAGGTATAGGCAGAAGATGCGGTAATGTCCAACCATGCTGCTTGTATCCTGCAAAACTCAGAGGTTGCAGCTTGAAGGCGCATTGAGCACTACTGCCAGCCTAAAATGTTTAGGGTAGTATATGCCCAGCGATGCTAAATGCCCAGTGTGCAAAAGACCTGATTAAGAAGTGCATTTAAGCCGTTTTCTCCTAGTCTCCCTGCAAAGTCACACAAATATTGTTGAGAATGCCAGTAAAGTCAACTTAATGTAGCTTTTTTTTGACAGTGTGGTGACAATGTAGCACTCCTGAATTCAGAGTGGCATTGCCCTTGTGTAGACTGCTTGTAATTGCAGGGGTATGGCTATCAGCATTGGCACTGCTCATTCACAGCCTGCCCTGTGCTTTTTTTTTTTTGATTGACATCACTTTCTCTGTGACTGAAACTCTTTTGCAGTGTCTGGGTGGTGGATTATGTGATACACAAATGGAGGGCTTGGCTTGGTTAGGAAGGTAAATAAAGTGTGTTCAATCTGAGGCTTGTGCATTACATTTTAACTGAATTTGATACAAGCATGCGATTTGAACAGGTATGCAGTATGATTCCTGTCCAAATCACATGCAGTTTCCACACTGCTCTTGTGTGAACCCAGGCTTGTCATAGCCTAGGTTCACACAGGAGTGACGTGGGAAGCCTCCCTATACAGACCCATGCTGTCACAGCAGTCAGCATGGAAGGCTGCATCCTCCCCTCTGTGTATTCTCTAGTGAGATCTCTTTGCGAAGGGGTGGGGGGTTGGAACACAGGCTTGCGGTGTCCTCTCTCTGTGTCATCCCCGCAAGGAGAGGTCTGGGGATTTGAAATCCCCCCTCGGCTTACTGTCATCCTTGCACTGAGAGGACAGAATCGGCTAGATGGCTTTTAATGGTCAGCACAGTCACGGTGCTGATCAATCAGAAGCAGTCTAGCCTGTACTGTCATCCCTGCACGGAGAGGAAAGAAAGCACAGGGATTTAAAACCCCCAGACCTCTTCTTGCTGGGGATGACACTTGGAGAGGACACTGCAGGCTTGTGTTCC